CCGCCTTGCGGCTCAGGCTCTGATGTGAGCTCCAAAGGCACCATGGACGGCCGAGTGTGTCCTGATACTGATCGGTATACAATTATCTGCCACAATTAAAAGTAACGGTGATGCTCTATGTCATGGCTGTCTTCTTACTGGGGATAACGATACCAATAACCTTATTCGCAGCTGTGTCAAGTAGCGGCAACATATAGTATGGTGAGTGCTGCAAGAAATTTGCCTAAGTTTTTAAAAGTTTGATTATTTCTCGCATACCAGTGAGCGCGCATTTACGAAAACTTACAAATAATAATGAGCAGCATAAGGCCTATTGAGTACTTAAAAGAACTAAAGGAAGTACTAAGTTTTTGCAAATAAATATAAAATTTTCTCGATAATTCCGAAGTTCTCAAGACGTAAAAATAGCTGTAAATTAGAACAATAAATTTAAAGATTTTGTTAAGTTGAAAACTTGAAGTAACCACTTTCTTTATATAGAAAGAACTTCCCTTTAGTCAAAATATTCTGTACATATTACCATTAGTGAATAAGCGTTTATTGAATATCGTTGAAAAAAGTGTGTCATCATTTTCTTCGTTTTCAGTGTCTTCAATGATAAATTGATGTTTACACCAAAACCTTTAAAATAATACACATATATAAAGAGCACTTACCGAAAGAAAGTGTTTTGGATATTAATTTTTACGAACTTGGCCATGCTGCTCATATTAAATAATGCCTCAAAACAGCAAACCACATTGTCGAGAATAAGTAATGTCCGCAAAGTTATTCTGATAATTTATTTCTAAGATTGCGTAAAAACTTTCAATAAAAGCTTACCTCTATAAAAAGTTCTTTGATTAGATATTCGACTGACTATGTTCTGGGTAAATTAACATTTTTCAAGGTAACGTCACAATGAAATTAGAGACTTTTGACAATTTCCTTAATTTACCTGAAGGTAAACGATACAATTTGACTGGAGATGAAAAAACTTACTTTTCTCTTTATAAGCGACTGTTTTCCGCATAAGTAGATTAATTCAATGATCTGTTTTAAGCTTGCGAATGCAAAAAGTCTGGCCATATATAGAAAAAACTATAGTTCTCCATGACTTACATTCAATAAGTCCTTCTTTACATTACATTCGCGGCAAAAATATGCGACACTTTGCTTGTGCTCAAGGACGGCTGTGCGGTAAGACAAAATTTCCAACGAAACTTTTTACTGCATTTTGTGCAAAAAAATTCACAGGATAGCTAAACGTTTTTTTAAAAATTAAATTCAGACTTGTTTCTGAACATAAATGCAATTCCTTAAACTTGGTTTCACTTCCATTTGAACAAATTCAGACAAAATTTTCCAGTTCTGGAAGGGGCCATTATTCCAATTTTATCTAGTTTTTCTGAAATTCTTCCTTAGCACAATGCATATTAATAAGAAGTATGGTTCTATGTTATTATACCGACAACATAGACCATATCACGAAGTTTGTCGGCCTATTTGGGCCTCATCAGGTGATAGTAGGTCAACTTCAGTGTAGCAGCGGAAATTGCCGCCACGCTCGAGTTTCGAAC